CGAATATGAGAAGTGCAACGTTACACGACAGCGTGTCAAGTGGTGAGGATGCTTGACCGGATACCTCCAGCTTAGCGAGTCCAGTTAAACTATCAAGGTGTCCGTCAATGTTGAATCTCGTCGAACTCTAGGCTATTGATTTTAGGGAAGTGTGTGACGTTACAGTATCTCCGCACACCAGAGGCGATGAAAGTCAACTACTCTCCTAATAAGTATGCAACCACCAAGGTGTACACAGAGAAGGACCTAGGACTGAACTTTTCTGACACACTGGATACTACTGGCATTTATAAGGGAATGGTGGCAAAGGCGAACGTCATTGTGCACCTTCTAAGAAGGCAGCTTTGATTGTTAACCCGAGAATTATTCCTTACTGTATTTCAAACCTATGTTAGACCACACCTAGGGGTGTTCTGCATGATAGCTCGCAGTACTTAAGAGAAACACAAATTCCCTCGAGAAGGTAAAAGGAAAAACGATAAAGTTGGTTGTCGGACTAACAGGCAAAACATATGCGCAACGCCTTAGACGACTCAACTTGTTCACACTAAACTATCAAGGGAGAAGAGGCGACGGAACAAAAAGAGCTGAACCTCAAGACCTGAAAGCGAGAGATCGAAATCAACAAGTTTCCTCTACTTGCACTACTTATGCTGGATGTTGGACTGTAGCGCGCGTGATATAGAGGTAACCTTAAATGTGAGTTTCGCTCACATTCTCAAAGTTTGAACTCACTGTTAAGTAATAAGCATACTAAACCAACTTTCCTGTGTGATCACGGTAAGTTGATTCGAATATGATCGTACTCAAAATGCCAAGCCATCCCATAAGTTTACATTTTAAAGGGGTGATCCGCTTAGAAACTATAATACACTGGGACGGTAGCTGCATTTCTATACACGGATGTTCGCAAACCATGCCTTATGATAAAACATAATTTTTTGGCCTAGGTTAGGGGTAGTGGTATACCGTCAGCGGAATACTGGGATCAATTAATGCAAACAGTGTGTATTGATTATTACACTTTTGTCCCAGTTGATTTCTAGATAGCAAAGTGTAGATCAGTCCATTAGCTCGCAAATGTCTGCTTAAAATGCATACTTATTTGCATCAGTCCGCATAAGTCTCTAGACTTCAAATACTAGCGAACAAGAGCAGTTGTTGTTAGCTACTAACTTACAGCAGTAAAAGGAGGAGTCTCAGGATAGTTGCTTAAGGAAATCCACTGATCCCAAGTTTTTGCTCAGACTTATTAACCTTCAGTTTGAGTTTTACCGTAAAATTTGTTTCAAGCCTGGGTTTGAAACATTATAGCATTTAGTGCAAACAGGAAGAGCCCTTCTAGTAATTTCACATGCAACTTGTCGAATGCCCTACTGAAATCTATTAATATGACGCCCACTGGCAATTTACAAGTCTAGACTACTGCTTTCTCCCTTATGAAGAGTAGGTTTACTGAACAGGGGGCGTCCAGCCCTATGAAAATGTTATGGTCACAGGGTTATTTGGTTCAATTTTTATCAAGCATTTATGATGTATTTTTATCCGAAAATCATGACAAAACCAGTTGAACTCACAAACGAACAGTTAGATACTAACTAACGATAATCAGTCTTGTAAATTAAGACAGTTGTAGCAGCCTACCAGAGGCAAGTCGGATACAGAGACACATTGGGAAGTTCATTAGTGGATTCAGCATCTATATCCTCTGGAGATATCAATACAAACCGCTAACTATTAAGACAGAAATTCTCCAGACTGGCAAGCCGTCTCTTTTGTTATTTGGACATAACTCATTGATGTGGCAGTACTTGTACAACGGTTGCATATGTAACTTCCTCAGTCCATCGTAAAGACTCCACTGGAACGTTGACATATTTGACTCTGCCAATCAACCTGACCCTTCACCTGCCGTCAAAGAGGGGATCTCATTTCTCTTCTCGTCTTTGAATATATGGGAACAGTCTTCTGAAACATTTTTGGTAATCGCTTACCATCTATTTGTCATGTTCAGTTTTGCATAAACTTCGAACCCTGCAGCGCTCACTTTCCAGTAGCAAGTCATATCACCGTTCACTTCTCATGATTACCATTTAACCACTCTTGCCAAACCATGGGGATGATTTTAGGTCTTTGTGAGGTCGATCGTGGAATGAATCGTATCGTCTTCTCCTTGGATGTAGTTTTAAACCTATGCTAGGGGTTCCTACAAGATGAGCAATTACTGTTGGACTACTACTACTGGTCTTCAGCGATGCTGTCTAATAGTAGTGAAGCGATTGAGTGTATTGACCACTTCACTTACCTGGGAAGTCCTGGTGGGTCAGTGTTCAACGAAATCTCTCCACGGATGCAAAGGCTTGATTGGCTTTCGCCAACTTACATAACCTGTGTCGCCGTTACGTTATCTGATCGCCAATTAAAGGTCGAGCAACTGTGCTCCATTTCGCTCTGTTCTACTATACGGTTGTGAAATATAGTTATCAAAGGTACAGTACATGAGAAGGCTTTTGGTGTGTGACCACCGTTGTCTTCGTAACGTAAGCCACATGTCGTGGTGTCGCCATATCAGTAATGTGGAAGTTAGGTGTGGGGTTTTAGGGGGGAGAAGAAAGTTAGTTGATAAGGTCGTGAGCCTTTCTCGACTGAAATGGTTGGGATATGTGTTGCTCATGCCTGGTCACCGGTCGCCTCCCCGTGCAAAGTTATTTGAAGTAGGTCTAGACTAGAAAAAGGCTGAGGGTGATCGGACTAAAACATGACACTACTGCATGAAGTCTTTGACTGTTGGTTTGAGCCAAGTTGGGACATGCACACCAGACGGTCGGGGTCCTCAGGAGAAGAGAAACCAGTGGTGGGAGACAAGGCGATGTGGCTCAAAATTGATGTCAGTGGCGTAGATGTATCCACACACTATCTTCATCTTAACCGCTATTCTGAATTCAGCATCTTCTCACTCTTCCTTCCTCTTTTTTACTCCCTACTGCCTTTGACCAACTTTTCTCTCTTTCGTCCCTTGTCTTACTGTTTTTTTACTTGTTGTGCTGAAGTGTGGTAACTTGGGTCGTTGTTCAGCAATGCCTGGTCCTACGTTGAATTTGATTGACTGGACCACCCTAGCCATGCAGGCGCCTATAGCTTACAAATCTGAGCGCCACGCATTATGTTTATGCCAGCAGCATCATAATCTAACTCGAACGTTCGAAACTCAAAGGTTAATACATTTTCGTAACTCGTCAACGGTGGAAGTACTGTAGATCCATATTGTGTCTTGGATTGATGAATTAAAGCTAAGTCTAGTAATGACAGCTTATTCTCTAGATTTTGACGTGTTGCATAAGTAACGTTTTAAGCGAAGGGAGATTTTAGTGTCGTCAAAAAGTAATTCGTTCTCAGGTAACTACACGAGGCTGAAGCATAACCCCTTCCAATTTATATGTAGAGCGTCCAGGCCCCAAACTATCAGACATCTATTGGTTTTTATCCACTCGCATATTTCATTCACACATGGCTACTTGAAAGGCAAGGCCGGCTACGATAAATGACCTCAGCAGCACATATACCTTTGACTTAACCCACAACTGACCACTTTGCATATACCGCATTCATGTGCTTTGGAAGTGACATTGCACGCGGTGGTCACGAATATAAATATAAATATAAATATATAAATATTAAAAAAAATATAAATAAATATAAATATAGTATGCTGTCACCGATGTGACTTATACAGGAATGCTTGGAGAAAAATAGAGTGAAATCCAAATTTTTTATGGATCATGCTTCACTACCGGACAGCACATCAAAACGTAATTCATAGACTAGTCTTCAACTCTGACAGTTTGTTTTTAACACTACGGACACTGATGTAGTCTCCTTTCAGTGTTCGAATTATCACTCGATCTACCCATACATTCCTTGGGATCATTGGTTTCCAAGAACTCAACTCGAAAATCTTCTATTTTAGCATTGCCTTTTGCTTTATCTTGCTGAGATTCCCGTTCAACAAATGCTCCTTTTTATACTGGGTGATCGAAGGTGAAATAACAATTTGGACCGCGGCTGAATTCGAACCAGTGACCACCGCGGTCCAAATTTTCATTTCATCTTCAATCACTACCCAGTATCAATGCTATTCTGTCAAACACTTCTATCTCAGATAGTCAAAATGAGAATGCATCTTTCTCGTTTTAAATAAGCAATAACAAATGTATCGAAAGCAGGATTTAGTGAATTCATAAATTCCGGTAGAACACTGCGGAATACTATATATATATGCATGCATACCGTGGTATAATACAGGGTGGGGGTAAAGATGGGCATTTAAAATTATGACGATTAACAAAGCTTAGCAACATAGTGGCTTCCTGAACATTGTCAAGTAAACATGAATCTGTCACTCCATTGGTTTAGACAGTTGATTTTCAACCAGTGGGTCAGGGATTGTAGCCCCACTTCACATACTGAGGTCTGGACAGCTAGTTATTATGATTAAACCTCACATAATATATGCACCTCATTGCCTACTGCAAGAGCGTGCGAGTGGTTGTTAAGTACATTTAGCTAATCTTTTCGAAACAAAAAAATCACGGTGTAAAAACTGACTGAAAAATTAAGTGGATCAAAGTTTAATTATGCCATCGTTAATAAAACAGTTCATAAGCGATTGATGAATGAATAGTAATAGATATACTCTTTAAATGGGAAAAATTAGTAAGGAATATCGGAATAAAACAAGAACGAAAAAACAACTAACTAATCATTTCGATTAATAACAAAACATTAGTTAACGAATTCACAGTTCATTAAAAATGTTACCAAGGCGAATTAAGAGTCACTACCATTTCTTTCTAATCCCAGAGTTGGTTTGGGAACTTGAATCCCACAGGTTTATGTGATTGTAAGTTGTTTCTTATTCCGTTATCTGCTGACCACTGTAAATGACTTTAAACAGTTGATATCACCTAAAGTCTAGGTGTGTTTAGTTACAGGGACCTCTTGCAAACTTCACTTTCGAACGACCTAGTCATTTCTGCAAGTGCTTATTTGAAGGTGACAATGTGAGTGATACAATCAAATGGAGGATCATTACAGTTATAAGAGAAACTTATCATGCTGCAAATAAGTGACAATTAAACTTTGATCCACGTGATTTTTCAGTCAATTTTCACACCCCTCCCAATTTATTCTCGTGTTTACTTGGCAATGTTCATAAAACCTGTGTTGCTAAACCTTATTCATCGTCCTAGTTTTAAGCGTATATGTGTATCTCAATTAGTATTATACCATAGTATATATAATCAACAGTATTCTACTTCAGGAGTTCTACCGGAATTTATGAATTCATAAAATCTTACTTCTATTACATCTGTTATTACTGTTGAAAAATTTGTTTCGATGACAAAATGATTTCAGTTTGTGAACCGTCTATTTTTTACTTAATCCTCAATAGGTTAGCTTAGCCGGATGAAGGTATCCAAATTAAGCAGTTTAAGTACTTTATTCAAAGGTATATGCCTTTCTTCATAGGACCTGGAACTGCTTTCAGGATCTCATTCGGTTTGTCCCCATTTTCCCTTAGCGTAACCACTTCCGAGATATGTACTACAAGAAAAGTTTTCAGTGGAGTGTGTTTGTTGGCTGACTCGACTCGATTCTGATCATGGGCATAATGTAATGAAGGATTCATGTTCATCAATTCTTCAACATTCTGAAAGGCCACACTAAACGTTGGTGAGATGTCCTTCCATCTCGTGTAGCTGACCTTCGAAGCCTTCTCAACGGTTTTCATAACTTCAGTAATATAGGTGAGAACCTTTGAAGGTACCTTCGAATTCCTCCTTAAAAAGGTTAAATTAGAATCATTTTCCACACCTGTAGCATAAAGACAGTTTAACTGGTCCACAGCAACGCTTCAGTTGTCCATCATGTCTGAACCTGAATGGAATGTAGATGTCAGTCTTCCAACTCTAATCGAAGTTCAGAAGGCTGTTTCGAACCTGAAACAATGAAAAGCAGCAAGATGTAACGGTTTACCATCCGCAGGTTTTAAGGATAGAGGTATGAAATTATTGATTTAGAATGATGAAGGTACTAGGTAGTTTATGGAAATTCGAGGTAGTGCCATCAGACTGGTGTACTTCACTGGTAATCACAGTCTATAAAAAAAGAAATAAGTCTTCCTGTGGCAACTATGGGGGGAATCAGCGTAACTAATATCGTGTCCGAGATCCTTGGGTCCACAGTTATCGGACGCTTAACTGAAGCTCAAGAATTCCAGGCAGGTTTCAGACCTGAACGTAGGTGCATCGATCATACTTTCATCCTGAAACACAGGTATACCTACAGGCGACCGACACTTTTCACATTTCTTGACCTGAAGGCATCATTCGACTCTCAGCTGTTAGATGTTGTGGCAGTGCCTGGTTGTAAAGGGAGTAATGAGCAAGTGCTCATCACTAATCAAACCTCTGTGCGGGAACTCACGCAGCCGCTTAATGCCCAATACAGAGTTGTCGTCAGGATTGATGACAACTGGTGATGTTCGTCAGGGTTGTCCACTGTCGTCGTTCCTATTTAACTTCGTCGTAGACGTACTGGTGGAAATAACCATAGGAAAGTCTGACTTCACAGGGATTGACCTAGTACCTGAACGTCTTCTGGCTAACTTGAAGTATGCTGGCGACACTGTCCTGTTAGGTGAAGTGGCTGACAAAATCCAGCGTCCTCTGGACGCGTCGAGCAGAAATCTGAGTATTTTTGGCATGGGTTTCGCACTAATCAGATGATGATGCCCCAGGACTAGTCTGTAACTAATCTTAGTCTAAGGATATCGAGTGAAGTGTTTGAATGCCTTCACCACTTCGCTTATTTGGGAAGTTGCATCAGCTCGAACGAGCTAGCTGCTGACGATATAGAAGGTTCGTTTGGCATTCATCAACCTACATCAACTTTGGCGTCGACAGACAAGATATCTGACTATGTGTTTAATAACGAGAATACTATGCTGCACTTCGTTCTGTCATGTTATACAACTGTGAGAAATAGCCGTTAAGAAGTAAAAGATTTGAAGCGGTTGCAGATTTTCGACCATAGGTATTATCGTACCATTGCTCGCGTTTGCTGGAATCACCGTGTGAATGATGCCAAGGTTAGGCGCAGGGTACTAAACAAGGAAGACATGTCAGTCGATGAAGTTGTGAACCTTCATCGACTGAGATGGCTTGGACATGTACCGCGCATACCGAGCCACCGTCCACCTGGACATGCAGTGCTGGAGGAAATTATATTAAGTTTGAAGAGGGTTCAGGGTGGCCAGACCAAGATGTGGCACTAGTTTATGAAGTCTCTGACTGTTAGCCTGAGCCGTGTGAAGAGGTGTAGTCCACCTGTTTGGGGTCACCGGCACGATAGGAATCATTGGTTGAGGACTTGGTGACCGGGTTGAAAATGTATCACAGTGGTGCAGGTGTATTCACTCTTCGACGTCTTCTACAGCTTGAATATTTACAATAACCTTTATCTTCAAATTGTTTATTCTCTCATACATCTATATCTACCTTAGTATAAGTCTTTTTCTACCTACTTGATCTTGTGTACTACTGTGAAGTGTGACACCTTGAACCGATGCACTTGTGTGCGAGGTTTTACGTCTGTAGCACCAAGATCATTTACTGGAGTAGGGACGCGTTTTGGATGTAATTGTACTTTTTTACAGGTTCTAGCCAGTGTACACTATTCAGCCTTATATTGATAAATGTGTCTGTCTTCTTTTTGTCTGTATTATTACACTGACATTTAGGGAAATTGATATCACCATTCCTTCTTTTCAATTGTAATCTGAACCGGATACCCTTATTCATTTAAAAAATCAACTGGAGTCGCTAACTATAATTCAAGATGCATTATCTGCATATCACTTGCATTTACATCTACCCTGACTAAATGACCGGAGTTATTATTGTGTATCGATATGAATTCCTGAAGCGATAGGTTCTCAGAGTTTTATATTGTGTATCAAAATGCTATCTGGAATAAAGCTCTTCTTTCTGTTATTCAGTTGATACCATGGTGGATGGTCGTAAATTGTCGTTCATTTTTGGGGTGAATTCATGGATTCGACTCGTATAAGTAAAGATGCAGATGCATGCCAGGGTTTTATAGATATTACTTATGACTGAAAAGATGAAATGTTACCAGTAGTCCGTTTACGAGAGCAATAGTTTTTGCTTGTTTCTACAGCTTACTGTGCTAAGGGGCTGAAATTCCTCTACTATTCTAACTTCCCATTCAGGAGTAAATAAATTATTATTATTATTATAGGACTGTCTAGATCTTCTAGTAACTTATGCAACCACTGAAGTGGTAATGAACATCTTTGTAGATAAATTGTAATTTGCACCTTCCGAAAATATCTGAAGATCAACAAATTGCAAATAAACTGATGAGACTCAAGTTTTTAATAGGAGGTTAGGATGGCAGGGGGATTTCAGCCTGTTTACGCAGTAAACTGTAAAAGCGAATATACACTTTTGTTCTCTAAAACGGACTACTGGTAATATTTCGTCTTTTCATTCGTAGAGAATATGCATAAAACCCTCAAATGCACTTGCCTTTTTATCTGTGCGAGCTGAATCCACGAATTTACTCCAAAAGTGAACGGAGCTTCACGACCATTCACCATGGTGCCAAGTTAATAATAATAATAGAAAGTACCTTGTTCCCCACAGCATTTCAGGGACATTATAGAACTATTAGCGCGTTATATTTCAGGAATTCATTTTTTTTGTCCGAACTGGTAAAACATAACACTGGCGCCGAAAGACTGTGGGCCAGAGAAGTATTCTATTTTTAGGACCGATATTTACCAATCTTGTCTTGCCAGACATTATTGGGCGGAAATGTTGATTATCCACAGATAGCATCTTGCTGTTATTACATTCCATACAGTCAGCAGTACGAATTCTCTCAGATCCTCACCAAATCTTGATTTATTTTCATTATGACGGTAACTACTTTTAGCCTTGCCACCATTTAACCAGACCTTTCTGGTATATTCGGACCTCAATAAACATTCATCCAAACCACGATGACTTTTTGGACATTAATATGCAAGCCCGACTACTACGTCAAGCTAGCAGTTGTCAGTCGGTATGCACCAATTCTAACCAGCTTCAGTGCCATTACGATGTTAGCCTGGTTGTAAAAGGCTGGACTCGCAACGCTTTGGTTTGAGAGCTTTCACTCTAAGCGTATGAAACCATCCTTATGAGCTGGTGTTCTCCGATAACTCTGTCCGATTGCTGTTGTCTCTATAAGATTGTTGGCTTCCTGTGGAATCATCGTGTAGGTTCATTTGAGGCCAGGTGATAAGTATTTAAGTGTGACGGAGATCATCACTTGGGTTTAGCATTGTAAAACACGGGTTTTATTGGCCTGGATATTTGTTACTTTTATCACCCCAGCAGCCTACATTCCGTCCATAGTTTCCCAGCTTCAGAAAAGATGGTCAGTGTGGGATTGTTGCACTTTGGGATGAAAGATAGTTATGTTGGGATAGAACATATTGTTGCACCAAGACTTTATGGCTCATATTTGAGCAGTTATACAGCTCATTTTTTTAAGATGGTAGTAGATATGACTCAGAATCGAAACCAGTGGCTTTCATGTCGTGATTTTCTCACATCCTTTGTCTGTGACAACTAAGAAGTGTGAGGCAAACTTCAGATGTTATCAAGTGAAGCTCTGTCTGATCTCCCTTTTTCTCCTTGTCATGCCTTTTTCCCTTTCTGGTTTCGTTGTGTTATGTCATGTGGTCCATTTCTTCGTGCCCGTGTTTTGCCCATTTTTTCTCAAGATAATTAATAATTCTGTTATTGGATTTGTGTAACACGTCTGTAATAAACAGAGGTGTCACTTTACACATAAGTTGGTTGCCTTATGATCTTCATATCATCCGTGAATGTTTCTGTCAGGAGGTTCATGATTATGCTGTTGTTCACACCATTAGTATGTGACATTTTGCATGCATGCATTAACATACATCTAGTTTATCAGCTGCTTGTTTTGATGTTCATTGAGTGATGTAAAATAGTGGTTCATCACTTGAGTACGGTGAATTCGTACATACCAAATCACTCTACCTTTGTTTTAATATCTTAGTGTAATGTTTCCGCACAAAATGGTACGTACAACATCTTAGTCAGTCGAGATTTTTCACATCGAAAGATTTATCTACCCTAAATTCTAGCTTGTTGTTGTTTTTATTTTCCATTGTCATGGGATCACATTAGGAACAAACTAGTTCTCACAGTGTGCTTTAAAGCCGTGTGATGTAACTTGGCACACCAATCTGCTTTTGTATGCTCCTCCATAATTAGCCTCAGTTCCGTGGTCCACTTTGTAAACTCATAGAATTATCGAGTAACCAATAAGTCAGTGTCTACGTGAATCCTGGCATTACTGTATTATAGTCTGATTCGCCAAACTTCACAACACAAGATATAGACCAACAAGGTGAAAGATATAACGTAGCAGTAATATAATCAAAATTCGTAAAAATCCAGGCAAAGACAAACTTATTATCAAGATACTGCATCTCCCCTATAAAGTGTCTTGATAAACTCCTGGTTTAGTTAGTATTTCAAATGACTTCAGTTTTTTTGTTGTGCAACTAGCAGTTTTCTTTTTGATTCCTTGTAGATTTCAATCTTTTGCTCACAACTATGGAAACCGGACAAAGTAGAGTTCTGCATGTTTTACATAATCCCATCTTATTTGGTTGAGCAGTGACTTTGATTCCCTGCAGCAATATTTTACGGATCGTAGCTATTCATCTGCCCAACTGAAAAGCTGTTAACCAAGAGTTGTACTAGAGCACGGAATGCTGTGTAACTTCCTGCGATTCAGACCTGTCACTTGTGCCCGTTTTTTCCACACATTCTGTTGCCTCAGAAACTCCTTCGAAAGTCAACCAAGAAAAATTTCTCATGTACTTGAGTCATGTATCGAACTTGGTCGTTTTGGAAAGCCGGTGGGCACTTGGTTATTGTACCTTCCTTGCACGTGGAGCATTGCACTGGCTGCACCACCAGGACACTTACCAGATCTGCACATGCTAGCCCTATTCGGTATAGGCTCTGTTCTAATGCGAAGTGCTGGTTGCACTATAAATGATATGTGGGACCAAAAGTACGACATGCTTGTTAAACGTACAAAAAACCGCCCCTTGGCTTCGGGCTCATTAACATACTCTCAGGCATTTTTGTTTCTTGGCTTGCAGTTGACAGCTTCACTTGTTATCTTATTACAGCTAAACTGGTACAGGTTGGTCTGAAATTTCTGTCAAACATTTTCTCAAGTGTATTCCTTGGTCTCCTTTCAATGGTTCCTGTTACCACGTATCCTCTGTTCAAACGGATTACTTACTGGCCTCAGCTTGTCCTTGGTAAGAATCAATGTAGCACTTTCTGACTTAAGTGTATGGCGTGATGTTACAGGTTTGACGTTGAACTGGGGTGTTTGGCTTGGTTATTCTGCCATAAATGGTTTTTGTCTTTTCTCCGTGTGTACTCCTTTGTACTTAGCCGCAGTGTGTTGGACATGCACGTACGACACTATATATTCTCATCAAGTGAGGGTGTTTTGCATTTGTCAACTTTTTTTCGCCTAGTAGTTCCTGCATCCTTTAATTGTATTGCTTGATATTTGGTTTTGTGCTTATACTGCGCTGCCCGGCTAACCTGTAGCACCTTTTTATTTTCATATTTTTAGCGTTTAAAGACTAGGTTTGTTTATTCTGTATAGGTCTAACATTCAACTGGGGTGCTTTGCTGGGCTATTCTGCTGTCATGGGTCATATTAACCCTATCGTCACACTTCCTCTGTATATTGCTGGACTCAATTGGACGATAATTTACGATACAATGTATGCACATCAGGTTTGTGCGCAAAGTTTGGTCTAGAGTTTATCTTTTTGTATTGAATGTATAATGAGTATTTTTCTTTCAGGATATTGATGACGACATCCGTATAGGTGTCAAATCAACTGCCATTTTGTTTGGAGAGAAAACAAAGTCATATCTGGTTGTTTTTCATACGGGGATGACAGCATGTCTCCTTACCGTTGGAATTAATGCAAGTGCTGGTTGGGTATACTATCTTGGGACTCTGTGTACAATGTTCCACATAGCTCATTTGGTAAGTTTACACTTCTGCACTAACATTTATCTTCATTTTCTCAAAAATCTGTATATTTTATTACAAGGCTTTCAAAAGTAGTTCCAGTCTTTGAAGGAAATATAATTATTCTGCACGAACATGCATTCAACTTTGTTGACAAAATGTTTTATTATCCAACTGTAGTGACTTGTTGTCTGGGTCCTTTTTGATGGTTTGTTTATTTGTGAAACCTTAGTAAAAGCAAATGTTCAGATTCTTCTGTGAATGGTTTTTTGTAGTCTGTAAAGTATGTCACTTACTGAAGGGTTTATACCTATACACCTGTAGCTGTTTCAAAGCATACCCCAATTCGCAAGACAAATCTTAATAACGTCAGATAAGAGTGGGGAGACATTTGAATATATATATATATATATATATATATATATATATATATATATATATACGGTTTTCATTTTTATGCAACTGTCTCTCCCTTCTTATCTGAAGTCATAAAGATTTATCTTGCGAATTGGAGTACACAAACGATCTAATTACTTTTGGCGAAGACATTAACAACATTCAGCGTCTTTCGAAGACAATGACAATTAGGGAGTTTTAGTGGTGCGTTTACCATCTTGTTAGCGCAAACTATTATTCCAAAACTACCTCTCTTTGATGCATCATCTGATTATTGATAGCAAAGCGCTTCAACATTTTCAATACACACCACCTTCTTGGGAAGTTGTGGTTCGATAACCAAGAAATTCTCAATATGGATAAAAAGGCTCCGTTGATTTTTGCCAACTTCCACATCTTGTGAAACTGATAAGATATACGAATATTTATTGAAGGTCAAGAGTATCGTTGAAGAAAACGAGAAGACTGAGACGCAGGAAGGAAAGTTCATTACTAGGATCGTGTACAGTAGTCATCAAATATTGTACACCTTGCATTAAGATAGTCATTTGCATAATGTGCTTCATTTCCTCTTCTGCTTTCATCTTGATTTGTTCTTAATACGCACACATTGTCTCTTGTTTTTCTCTAGGCAGAACCTATACCCATTGCTGGTAATTCCCCATGATTTCTACTGCCCTCTCAACATATACTACTTATATCCATTCTGATCAAGAACACCCACTGAACCGTCATCAGTTGGCTGTGTTACTTTATGTAGCTATAAGACATTCCCGTTAAATTTTTGGGAGTGTGGGATGGCTTCAGTATTTGATGACATTTACCTTCGTAGCATTCTTTGCATATGGTAGAAACCATGTAAGCAGTTTAAAGGTTATATAGTTTTCGGGTAAAACAATTTAGTTAATGAGGCTATAAATGTTCTTCATGTGAGTTAATTAGCCCACACACTTCACCACAACGTGTTGTTTGCTAGAGTAGAAATAAAGTAGAAGAAAGTTATTGGTGATCCGTGAAGTTGCTGACATCCAGTCTAGACCATATTGGGAAACCCAGGTTTTACCGCTGTGAGCAACTATACAACCGAAATCAGTGAATATCGTCTCTAGCTGATAAGTAAATGGATCAGTCTTAGTAGTGTGGCTTTATTCATGTCTTACATTCATCTAAACCTTAATACTTCACATCTTTATTTCTTTACATCGTTTGTCTTCGTCGTATGGCCACTTTCCGATTTGGACAATGCAATATTAATTTCTTTGTATTCTCTCATTTTGACATCCACTCCGATCTACTGTTACTCTCTGAAGCCACTTGGTGTGAAAAGTTTTTACTATAAATCAGGTGTATATCTGTCTGTGGCAGTTAACTTCTCAGTTGGTATTACCAGTAATTGGCTGCATCTTGAAATCGCACATCGTGAAACACTTTTCATCAAATAAATTAAAAAAATGTAACTTTTCAGTATAGAAGGCATCAACATCGCATCTTCATAATATATCTGTCCATAATTAGAGCTTACTACTAAACAAATTCCCTTCTTGTTCATCGTCTTCCTTGTCATTCGTATTCGAATTTCGTTGCTTATCTTTAGGGTAAACTATCCCTTAATTTCTGTGATTTGGCGTTAAATCTGCTGTCTACCCACAAGCAATAGCCGGTCACAAAATCTACACTTATATAAACATTTAATCTTCTTGGTGTCTGCTTGGTGGCTAGCAGTGGAATCCAAAACGCGTGTTTCGTCTTATTTGGTACTCATTAGCTGGATGTACCTGCAGCCGAGTGAGTGGTGTTGTTCCCACTGAGACTCAAACCCAAAAACAAATATATCCTAATTCTTTGGATTTAATTCTCATTGTGAAAAGTCTAGTGTCACAGAATAGTGTATAGAATCATTTGTACTATCTATCAGAAATTGTGAAGATGCATTTTTTTCTGCGTGAGGGTTCATGATAAAATTTAAGTACGTAACTTACTACTGATGAAAGTAAATATTTTTAAGTGACAGATTGGAGCGTACCAAAGTATATAAATTGTTGTTTTTGCAGTTGATCGACAATCTTGAATAAAGTTTATTATCCCTAGTATTCACTACACATGTTAGGGATCTCATTTCCTATTCAGATTTCCACCCACCTCTCCTAGAAGATGATAAGCCTCGAATATTGAACGTTGCCTGTTACATGAGACTCTTCTATGATATTTCTCATGTCTCCGGACCATACTCAAAGTGCTCATAGTCTACTATATGTGTATAGTTTTGCGTTTTGTCACCTTGAGTGGCCTAAAAAGAGGTATTCATTTTGGAAAGCATTATATCTAGTTGGGATAATTATTAAATCTCCATGTAAATACTTATTCAAAAAGTTGTTTTCTTTTCAGATACAGAAAACGGATCTGAAAAATCCCAGTTGTTGTTGGCAAACTTTCAAATCTAGTAGAACTTCTGGTCTTTTGTACTTTTTAACCATTGTGCTCGACAAACTATCGATGTAACATCCCATCGATACCAAGATTGATTTACAATAAATATTTTGTATATATGTCACTTGTTGCCATTCACAAATTCAAAGGCTGATTGATCCTGAGTGACTCAATAGACTTCATTTCAATTCACTAGCTATATGTGGTAAAAATTTGACGACTGTGTAACTGAAATTTCTACTCACGCTGTTCAAATGATACCAACCAAAAGTAAAGACAAAATCTTTAAGGAATCGCTAAGCTCAGATAATGTGTCGCTATTACAGTTGATGAATTTTTCCTGTTATGAAGAACATAAAACTGGGCAATAAGCGCTAATTACTATCGAGGGTCAAACAAACATAAAACGTTGCAAGCAGTTTCAGATGATCTTCAAGTACTTCTGGTTAGATCATAATGTTTTTAGTGGTGAAAATGCAGATAAAAATTCAACTGTTTGTCTAAACTACACAGTGTGTAATAAATGGAATAAACGTATCAATAATGCGAAAGTGGGATAAGTATTAAGTAAAAGTGATAAATTAACGAAATTGTGAGTCTTTTTCGACACAGGTGGTTTGGACACCCTGACCTGACGTGCTGTTTGCGCTTGCACATCACAATGGCCCAACAAGCTATGCTGATTTAACGCTAGTTCTCTCAAAATCTAACCCTGTCAGAAGGGTCTCTTAGGTAGTGGTAATATACAAAGCAGTAACCGTCATAGTGTAAATTGCTACTTTATTATCGGATCTGAGGGCGAAATCGCACTGTTGGCTAGACGGCGTGCGACACCATTTAGGTCTTTCCCTCAGATGACCAGAAGTGCCATCTTGATGCTACCTTCCCTGTATTTGACCGGCCTCAAGCGAATTTTCCTTGGGCTTTCTGGTCACTCACTAACTCTGCTATTTCGAATATCTTAAGAAAAACTAGCTTTCCAAGGTCTGGGCAAATGAGAAGTGACAACTGCCCTCACAATTCTGTCAGCATTCAGGTTTCCTCTGATCATTATTAACCTTCCACAGCCTTACCTTCAACTGTGCTATATACTTACTCGATACCCTTTCCAGTGAAAGATATTGCCATAAGACCTCTTGGTCTATGTACTGGAATATCGCTTTCAGGTCGAGAAATATAGCTAGTGTTGGTCGTTGATAAGAGTACCTGTGTTGCATAACCTGGCGGAGAGTGAATATGTGATCGATATGTCCCCGGCCAGGTCTAAGACCTCCCTGGTTTTCTCGGGTGTTGTCCCCTCGCTCCAGGTAGACATCTGGTAATTATGGAACCTAGGATCTTGGACATTGCGTTTATCAGACTGATTCCTTCTTTATTATAACCGGAGGGTTTCTCGCCTTTCTTGAATACTGGGACAGTCACTGATTGAGACCAGTCAGAAGGGATCATAGCTGACTCCCATACACTAGTTAATGTTTCAGTTAACCTGGCCAATAATCCACGATCGCCATCCTTAAGTAACTCCGGCATTATTCCATCTGACCCTGGCGCAAGTCCTTGTTTCAGATTACAACTTCATTGACTTCCACAAGTTTTGGACGTCTCAATATTGATGCTCTCTTTAGAATCCGACTGGATGGAATCGGTGTCCAAACACGTGATCTAGAAGGAGTGGCAATCTCTTACACTTCTTTTTCGGCGTCTGCTGATAGCAGTATGTTGTGTTCCCGAAATATGTCCGTCATGCCTCCTGCCAAAGTATCCCAAAATAAACTAATGTGTGACTAACCTAGTGTTAAAATGATAATTTTTTCCTTACTAAAAACAGTGCAGCAGAATACCACATCTTAAAATAACCACCCATCTGTAGTGTTAAAACATACTAAGTAAGCATATACTACAACTCCCTAACCAACTGTAGTTAGACAGACACTCAATAAGCAGTGTACCTTTTAACACCTCTGTATAGGTTTCTAAGCAACTTCCAACTTAATGTTAGCTTTTAAGAATATGTAGTTTTTCAGATGGTTACCCATCTTTGGGCTTTGAGTGTTCATTTACGTTGGTGGTACGAGTGAACAGCTATTTAGTTAAGCTTCTGAATATCCAGTCATTACTCTGGTCAATGATACTACTGTTTGCACATCTGGTTGTCTTATTCTCTTTGGTTGCGATTGAGTAGTGAGTGTAAGCATGAAATAACACCAATGGGACTATTCTATCAAGTTGCATGAAAATAGAGCTATTTGCATATTAGTCAAAAAGTTTGCGCCTTTAATCAGTATTTACAGTGTATTATTGTTGATATTTGAAAAAAGCAAATGAAGTTGAATCAAATTTCTTAACAACGCTAAAACTATGTTACAAAAGTCAATTAAATATAGTGTTATTGGAAGTCAAGTGCTACACATCTGATTAGAATGTAGATTCAAGATTTTAAGGATATATATTCATATAAGAGTGACGAATTTCTCCTTTTCCCTTTATATTTCTTCATTTTGGGAGCTGAACGATATTAGTGGGGGGCGATGCCGTGCAGTTTTAGGGAAACAACGTGAAAAATATTCAGTTTATTTGGAGCAAAGAATATTTGGTTTTTTGAAGCACTAAGAGCTCATTATTCAATCATTTCCGGTATGTAGTAGAAAATAATTAGTAGTTAGGTGAACTCTTAATACCTTTTTTGTAAGCCATTTTGGGTAATGAGGCGTTTTTTCCAAGCAACTTGGATTTGCGCAGTATTAGGAGAGTTTATGTACTCATAAGTAGACCTCATTAGTATCCAGTTCATTCACTTACCACTTTTAAATGCCGATCCGTTTTGATTTAATGGCCGCATCAATGCAACGAATCAGTCACATTATTTTCAATCCAATGGACTTTTAAACAGTAGTTCCCGGATTCGAACCCTACACGACTTACTTTGGCCTGTACAGTTGGGTCGTATCATAAGCCTTCTCACAAAAACTATGGCTTGTAGTCTAGTAAATAAAAGTTAACCAGTTTGAGTTACGTTATTAACTATTGACAATGACCACTTTTGTTTTCATGCAGTAATGCTTTGGTCTTTTACTGTGCGTATGCTTTTTGGTGAATGCTGTTAAACTATTCGTATCTGTCTGAACACTGATTCGTTTCACTGTTTTCATTTCTCAGTTTTCCACTGTAGACGAAAAACAAAATTTCATAAAACTTTACGTACAATTTATAAACGTTCTACTCTTTGTAACATTTTAAATATTGACCATATTTATGCATACTTCTGTGATCTATTCAAAACAAATAAAAGTAATGAACAAAATATGTGGTCATCCATTCAAACTACTAAATGAATAGCAATATGAATTCAACGCATTCTAGAAAATTTCAAAATATTATCACAAATGGTATTGGGATGAAATACTGAAAATATAAATAAAGTTTCGAAACCTAAAATAGGTGAGTGAATTGATGGAACAATAAAAAACGGAGTTTATTAGTGTGCACTTCGCAATGATATCGAATTAGAGCTATTCCACTGTTATCTCATATTTCATTGAGGAATCTAAAGAATAGTGATTAAGATTTATTTCTTCGCTAAAAATATCACATTTATACTTTTAACACTAAGAAATGCAAGAGTGAATTAATGACAATTTAAATATGAGTAAATTGTTTAGTGTATTTACTCAATCAACCGAATAGCATAAAAATAACTGTAGCACATTGGTGATTTCATTTCAACTGTTCATAATAGAAATTATTGCTTTCCATTTCAACTAGTTTCTGTCAACAACAAAAAGTTTGGTTAACACCTTGATGGAAAGTAATACCTAGTTTATAGTTTAGTTTAGTTCGCTGTGCGTTACTTGACATTTATTTTAACATAAACAAACAACATGAGAGTGACCAGGTTTAATGAAAAAAGGAATAATCTCCTATTTAACAGACAACTAACTTCGATTTCATCTAGGATGTAAAAAAACAAAAATTTTATCAACGAGTTTCTGTTTCATACACGTAGTTCTCCGTATAAATTTTTGCAAAGTAAAAACAACAAACATTGTGAAATGAATTCGTTTCGTGTGCTCTAAATCTTTCACACACTAAATTTAAAATTGTTTACAGTAGCCTATTAGTATGCCGCATACTTTCCATTTCTGTAGCTTGGCAACTTAGAAACCTGGACTACAATTCATCGCCATAGTTTAAATGAGGACCAAAATGAAGTTTTAGATGCAATCTCTACCAAAAATAATTTTGATTGGACGCGTTTTATGAACCTATGAAGTTCACTTCCATATTCAGAAAAGGAAAATTACTCAGTAACTGGTCAGAGTTAAGATTTCAAAGGAAATACTCGAGTAAATTACGCCAATACAGTAGTCTCTGTTAGTAGCCAATTAAGAATTATAAGTACAACTAGTTTTGTTTTCATAGACTAAGTCAGATATCTGAAAAAAGGTTTGACAAGATAGAAGTTCTGTTTTAGTTGTATTAGTCTACCTGGTAACAAGATTACAGTTAGGTAATAAACAGAACCTCGCCTGGTTAACTAGTTCACTAGTTACTAGCCGGTCCTAAGCCCGGGTAAAGAGGGAAGGTTGGGCATAGGGCTAGCAACCCTACCCCGTAAAACAAATCTAACCGCTAAAGAAACTTCAAAGCACAAACAAAATATAAAAAATGAAAACAAACTTATTCCTCGCTGGAATCGGAGAAGCGAAATTACGCCAGTTGGTGAAAGCCTTCGGGAAGCCAATTGGCCGATGTGTCTTCTCTCGATGAAAGCGAAAGTAAACGTGGGGACATGGAATGTCCGTACGATGTTTGAACCCAGTAAGGCAGCCCAGATTGAAAAGGAGATGAGAAGGTATAACATCGAAGTGCTTGGGATTTGCGAAAGCAGATAGAATGGGAGTGGACTCTCCAAACTGTCAACTGGAGAATCAATAATCTACTCCGATATTGTCACCCAGACGCCAACCACGAGCACACTGAGGGAGTGGCTATCATGATGTCCTCAAGAGCATCGAAGGCTCTCATGCAGTGGGAACCAATCTCCTCCAGGATGATGACAGCAAGATTCAACTCAAAAGGAAGAAAGGTCACAATCATACAATGTTATGCACCTACAAATAATGC